CCTCCTGGGGCGAACATCGTCGATGGCATGTGGATTTTCAGGGTGAAGCGGCCGCCAGGTTCTCCGCCTGTCTTCAAGGCTCGTTACGTTGCTAGAGGCTTCAGTCAGCGTCAGGGGGTCGACTTCTTCCAGACCTTCTCCCCCACCCCGAAGATGACCACTCTTCGGGTTCTGCTGCACGTTGCTGCTCAGCGTGACTACGAGCTTCACTCTCTTGACTTCAGCACAGCGTTCCTGCAGGGCAGCCTGCACGAGGAGATCTGGCTGCGCCGCCCACCTGGCTTTACTGGGTCGTTTCCCCCTGGTACCCAGTGGAGTCTCCGCCGGCCAGTCTACGGTCTCCGCCAGGCGCCACGTGAGTGGCACGACACACTGAGGACTACTCTTGCGGCTCTTGGGTTCGCGCCGTCTACTGCTGACCCGTCGCTGTTTCTGCGCACAGACACGTCGCTGCCGCCGTTCTACATTCTCGTGTACGTCGACGACTTGGTCTTTGCTACTGCTGACACTGAGGCACTCGCTCGTGTGAAGTCGGAGCTGCAGAAGAGACACACCTGCACTGACCTGGGTGAACTGCGTAGCTACCTTGGCTTGCAGATCACCCGGGACAGAGCTCGCCGCACCATCACCCTGACTCAGTCACACATGGTGCAGCAGGTCCTTCAGCGCTTCGGCTTCCAGTTCTCCTCACCACAGGCCACACCTCTGGCTACCAGCCACTCGCTCTCAGCTCCACCTTCGGACGAGTCCGTAGAGCCGAGTGGCCCGTACCCAGAGCTTGTAGGCTGCCTCATGTACCTGATGACTTGCACGCGACCTGACCTCGCGTACCCTCTTAGCATCCTTGCTCGTTACGTTGCGCCTGGGAGACACAGGCGAGAGCACTGGGAGGCTGCTAAGAGGGTGCTGCGTTACCTGTGCAGTACATCAGGCATGGGGCTGGTGCTTGGAGGACGCGACAGAGTTGTCCTCACTGGTCACTCGGACGCCTCTTGGGTGGACGACCTGGCTACGCAGCGGTCGTCACAGGGTTACACCTTCAGCCTTGGCTCAGGTTCTGTCTCGTGGCGGTCCACCCGCTCTTCCTCTGTTCTCAGCTCTAGTTGTGAGGCTGAGATCTACGCCACAGCCATGGCTGCACAGGAGTTACGCTGGCTCACCTACCTGCTGACTGACTTGGGAGAGCGGCCTAGTTCTCCTCCAGTTCTGTACGGTGACAACAAGGCGGCTCTTGCCTTGTGTCAGGAGCACAGACTGGAGCACAGGACGAAGCACATTGCTCTTCGCTACTTTCTTGCTCGAGAGCTTCAGCAGCGCGGTCAGCTTCGGCTTGTGTACGTGGACTCGAAGGCCAACACTGCTGATATCTTCACCAAGGCGCTCCCGCCTAGTGATCATCAGCGGCACTGTACTTCTTTAGGCCTTGTGTCCACGTTTCCTCACTTGCTCACTGCTTGACATTCTTTGTACTATACTTTATATATATCTTGTTGCTTGCTTGCTAGGTTTTGATCACTGTGTTGCTTGTCTTGTACTATATCTAGCACTGCATGTGAACTGGCCTTGTGGCCTTTACTTGTGCTCGGAGTGTGGTGACGTTGTGATCCACCCTGGGCTTTGTTTTGCTTTGCTGGACTGGTCTTGTGACCCTTTGTTCTCCCCCACTTTGCCTATGGGGGTGTGTTAAACTGTATTATGCTTGTAGGCTGTAGTGGGGTAGCCAATATGGGGTACAACCCCAACTAGGGTTTCATATTTGTACCCAAACTTCTGTTAGTTCATCCATTCTTGCCTAGTGATTCTAACAGGTTGCCCTGTCCTCGGGTGAAGCTGAATTCATCGCCGCGACAGCAGCAGTTCGCGAATGACTTTATATGCACAAACTCCTGCAAGAGGCGAAAATTCCAGCCTCGCCGACCTTTCGCCTGCACTGCGACAACCAAACTACGATCCGAATCGCAAACAAGCCAGGATTCGTCAACCGCACCAAGCATATTGCGCCGCGGTACATTTTTTGTTAAGGACAAAGTGGACAAGGAGAAGGTGGACCTGTTTTAGGCCAGTTTTAGGGTGTATCCCAGGCAAGTGTCAAGAATTGGTTGGTGACAAACGTTGTTGACGGTTGACACCAAATGGAGCCGCATGTGAGCGCGACTCCAGCCTGGTGTCAATGTTTGGCACATTCCCGCGCAAACCCTAGCTAACATCAGGAGGGATATTCCTCCATGTGTTCTCCAATTTTGTGTCATGACACTAGCCGCTTTTGACACTTAACTGGGATACGCTCTTATTTGTCCATCTGAACGTCAGACAAAACTGTTACGAATAGTAAATTGAGAAAGAACACCATGCACTCCTAACAACAGCAAGCGAAGCACACAGTACCGAGGCTGGAGACGAAGAGTCAGACATGACTCGAAGCGACGCGAACAGTTGGAGAGGATCTGGACCGTCTGGCATCAAGCGGGATCGGCAGCTGTAGGAAGAAGGAAAAGCGCGCGAACATTTTCGTAACTGTACGTGCCGCTAGGTTGGGTTTGAATTCAAATAAGGGAGTGTACCCCTTAGAGTACATGGCTAGCTAGGATGATTGATACCCGTCACCCCCCGGATATAAGCGCCTGGCGCTTCTAATTGGCATATGGCACTTATATCCCCTCCTCGATTACAAGCGCATACCCTAGAGTCTTATGTCAAATGTTATATCTGCTACAGTTTGTTTAGGCTGTAGTGGGGTAGTTACTATGGGGTACAGTAAGTTTAGGGTTTCCTACTTGTACCCAACTCTTTCCTAGTTCAATCACTCTTGTTGATTCTGACATGGCACCACGAGCCTAGGTTAGCCACCTAGGACCGCTTACTACTACGGGCCCACCATTCCGCTAGAAGCGCCCTCGTGCGCCCTACCTTACGTGCGCCCTCGTGCGCCCTACTCTGCTCGTGCGCCCTCGTGCGCCTTCTTTCTGCTCGTGCGCCCTCGCGCGCCCCGCCCTTCGTTCTGCCCGCGCGCCGTCCTCTGCTCGTGCGCGCGTGGCCCGCTAGCCACCAGCGCGCCGCCTGATCGACGCCTGCGCGCAGCCCGCTAGCCGCCCACGCAGTTCGTACTGGCCTCTCGCGGCCCCTCTAGCCGCCCGCGACCTGCCTGCACGTAGGCCGCCACCCGTAGGCTGCTTGCCGCCCGTACGCTGCCCGTAGGCCGCCCTTACGCAGCCCGTGGGGCGCCCGTACGTCGCCCGCAGGCCGCCGCCGCTCGTAGGCCGACGCTCGCGCGCAGGCTGTACCCCGCGCGCCACGGCTGCTGCACTCCGGCGGCTGCAGCCTGCCGGGACCCGCGCGTCGCCCCTACCTCTTCGCGACGCCCTTGCGGGCCCCGCGCGTCGCCCCCTGCCTCTTCGTGATGCCCTTGCGGGCCCCGCGCGTCGCCCTCTACCTCTTCGCGACGCCCCTGCGGGACCTGTGAGGCGCGGCTCCTACGCGTCGGGCCGCCCCAGCGGGACCCGAGCGTCGCCCCAGCTCGTCGCGACGCCCCTGCGGGACCCGCGCGGCGTCGCCCCTGCCCGCCGCGTCACCCTGCAGTACCTCGCGCCCGCCCTACCCGCCACGTCGCCTCTACCCTGCGCCTGGTCCCTGGAGCAGCCGTCCCTGCAGCGGCCGCCCCTGGCCCCTGGAGCAGCCGCCACTGCAGCAGCCGCCCCTGGCCCCTGGAGCAGCTGCCACTGCAGCAGCCGCCCCTGGCCCCTGGAGCAGCCGCCACTGCAGCAGCCGCCCCTGGCCCCTGGAACGGTCGCCCCTGGAGCAGGCGCCACTGCAGCAGCCGCCCCTAGCCCCGCCCTGCCGCTGTAGCGGCCCCGCAGTCGCCTCCGTCGTGCGCCTGCCCTTCCCACCACTGGTGAGCACGTCCCTACCCGTCCTGCTGCTACTGCTTCTATCGCTGCTCCTGGCGTGCCCAGATGCAGCCCCAGGGCCGTCCGCGTGTGTCCCTCACGCCCCAGCAGCTTCGTGAGTGGTACGCCAGTTGGGGTTGTCGGAGTGGCAGTAGTGGGAGTCGTCCTGGAGTGAGTAGTTCCGGAGCTTCTTGTAGTGGCTCGGTGCTACAGCAGCGTCGTCTGAGCGAGACTCGTTCGCCCCAGCAGCTTCGTGAGTGGTACGCTCAGAGTAGAGGGTCGCTGCGTACTGCTCGCTGCCTGTACGTTATTCGCACGGGTGTCCGGACTGGTCAGCCTTGCGGGACGCCTGGTCACACAGAGTCTCGCTGCTTCGCCCGTCTGAGCGACGCTTGGCGTACGGACTTTGGCGACGACGCTGAGCTCCCCGACTGGGTGGATTTGCTTAGGCAGAGGGTAGATAGCCTTGCTCTTGACTATGATGCTATTCTCACTGCAATGTATGCATTGTCTACTAGTCCCGAGGGAGCCTGTCACCTGTGTGGGCCGCCTGACCCCGGTATCCAGTCTGCTGCTCCAGGTGCTTTTGAGTCTGCGCTTTCAGGTACTCCGTCTACTACGGCACTGCACACCTTCACACTGGACTCAGGTGCTTCCCGCTGTTTCTTTCGCGACCGCACTGCCCTCGAGCAGCTTCCTAGACCGGTTGCTGTCTCCCTGGCTGACCCCTCAGGGGGTCCGGTCCTTGCGACCTCCACCACTGCCCTCCCTTGTCCTGCTGTCCCGTCTGGCACACTGTCGGGCCTCTACCTCCCCTCGTTCTCTACGAACTTGGTGGCGGGCTCCGCGCTCCAGGACGGGGGTGTTCACCAGTTCACCCCTGCCTACGAGCGTGTGACGCACTGCACGTGTGCCCAGACGGGTCGTCACCTGGCTACCTTCACTCGGCAGCCGGGGTCGGACTTGTACACACTGACCACTGAGTCCCCTCAGGTAGCTGCGTCTGTGTCTGCGTCTGGTCAGCTGTCGGCCCCCTGCTCGTGTCGCTCCCTGTCGCACAGGACTGTCCTCTGGCACCACCGCCTTGGTCACCCGTCCGTGCAGCGCCTTCGTGGCATGCACTCCAGGTATCTTGTCTCTGGTCTTCCCAGGGTTCTCCCTCCCCTACCACCCTCGCCTGCTCCTCCCTGTCTTCCCTGTGTCGAGGGGCGGCAGCGCGCTGCTCCTCACTCTTCCTCGTTCCCTCCCACAGAGGCTCCCCTGCAGACTCTCCACCTGGACGTGTGGGGCCCCGCCCGCGTCCGGGGACAGGGCCACGAGCGGTACTTTCTGCTGGTCGTCGACGACTACACGCGCTACACCACGGTCTTCCCCTTGCGTACCAAGGGTGAGGTCCCTGATGTCTTGATCCCCTGGATCCGCGCTGCTCGTCTCCAGCTCCGCGACCGGTTCCAGTCGGACTTTCCTGTCCTGCGTCTGCACTCTGACAGAGGTGGCGAGTTTTCCTCTGACCTCTTGGCAGCCTACTGTGCGGAGCACGGCATCCGCCAGACGTTCACTCTCCCGGCCTCTCCGCAGCAGAATGGGGTTGCTGAGCGCCGCATTGGTCTCGTCATGGAGGTCGCTCGTACCTCCATGATCCATGCGGCTGCTCCCCATTTCCTGTGGCCGTTTGCAGTGCAGTACGCCGCGCATCAGCTCAACCTTTGGCCCCGTGTCTCTGTTCCGGAGACCTCGCCTACCCTGCGGTGGACGGGGGAGGTTGGCGATGCGTCGGTGTTCCGAGTCTGGGGATGTCGAGCCTTTGTCCGCGATACGTCCGCGGACAAGCTCTCCTCCCGTGCCGTTCCCTGTGTCTTCCTTGGCTTTGTCCCTGACGCGCCTGGCTGGCAGTTTTACCACCCTACCTCGCGCCGTGTCTTTACCTCTCAGGACGTCACCTTTGACGAGTCGGTACCCTTTTACCGTCTCTTCCCCTACTGCACTGCCCCGCTTCCCCCCCGCCGCTCTTCCTCACCCCAGGTGTCCCGTCGGTAGACCCCCTCCCTCCCCAGGGTGCTGCTCCCTTAGGTGTTTCCCAGTTAGACCCGGTCGACCCTGTCGAGGTAGCTGTTGACTCTGGTCCTGCGCGAGGTGCTGAGCGTGCTGAGCCTGGTGGTGCTGGGTCTGGGGGTACTGAGCCTGGGGGTGCTGAGCCTGGGGGTGCGGAGACTGGGGGTGCTGAGCCTGGGGGTGCGGAGACTGGGGGTGCTGAGCCTGGGGGTGCTGCGACTGGGGGTGCTGAGCCTCGAGGAGCTGAGGCTGGGGGTTCTGCGACTGGCCGTACTGCGCCTGTTGGCGCTCCCTCTTCACAGCAGCTGCGTGAGTGGTACTCCCAGCATTACAGCCTCTGTCGTGGGGCTACTGGAGCTGGGGGGTCTGCTGGAGTTGGGGCTGGTGGCCCTGCGGGTGCAGTGTTGCAGCCGGAGCCTCCCTCCCCTCAGCGGCTACGTGAGTGGTACGCTCGGCGCTGCAGCCTCCGGAGTGGAGCTCCTGGTGTTGAGGTACCGCCAGCTGGAGGCCCTGCTGCTACTGGAGGTCCTGGAGCTGCTGGAGGTGCTGCTGGTGCTGGTGCTGCTGGAGGTGCTGGAGCTGCTGGAGGTGCTGCTGGTGCTGCAGGAGGCTCTGGAGCTGCTGGAGGTGCTGCTGGTGCTGGTGCTGCTGGAGGTGCTGCTGGTGCTGGAGGTGCTGCTGGTGCTGCTGGAGGTCCTGGAGCTGCTGGAGGTGCTGCTGGTGCTGCTGGAGGTATTGGAGCTGCTGGAGGTGCTGCTGGTGCTGGTGCTGCTGGAGGTGCTGCTGGTGCTGGAGGTGCTGCTGGTGCTGCTGGAGGTCCTGGAGCTGCTGGAGGTGCTGCTGGTGCTGCTGGAGGTCCTGGAGCTGCTGGAGGTGCTGCTGGTGCTGCTGGAGGCTCTGGAGCTGCTGGAGGTACTGCTAGTGCTGCTAGAGGCTCTGGAGTTGCTGGAGGTGCTGATGGTGCTGGTTCGGCGGGAGGTTCTGGTGCTGTCTCTGCTGCTTCTGGGGGCACTTCACGGCCGCGGCCGTACTTCGTTCCGCTCCTTCAGCAGGTTCTTGGTCAGTCGCCTCCTCCTAGTCCTCCTCCCTCCTTAGCTTGTCCTCCGCCTGTCCAGTCGCAGTCGCAGCTACCACCTGCCTCGCCACTTCCTGGTCCCTCTCCCTACACTGGTCCGACAGGCGGTCTTACAGAGCGTCGTGAGCCTGATTCTCGTCCTGCGTCGCCTGTGTCTCGTCCAGTGTCACCTGTTCGTGCTGCCTGCACTGGTCGTCGTGTTCCGCGTGAGCGTCCTCCCCCAGTCCCTGGCACACACTAAATGACTCTGCGTCCTTCTACTGCTCCTCAGCGTGTCCCTCTACCGTCTCCTCCTGCGTCCTCTCTTCCTGTTCTTGCTGACCCAGAGTCTGACTCTCTTCGTGCTGCCAGTCCTACTGTCACGCGTCTCCTGGCCACTGTTGTCACTGACCCTTCCTTTGAGACTGCTGCTGCGTCTGCCCTAGTTGCTGAGCTTGTCGACTTTGCTGCTCGCTGTCGTCTAGACTACGCCGCGAGTCTTGTTGCTGAGTCTGAGTCTGTCTGTCCTCCGTCCGTCGGGGGTGAGTGTGCTCTTGGCACGGACGTCCTTGAGGACAGGCAGGAGGATCTTACGTGTCTTGCAGCCGCTGCGCCTCATCTCGTGTCCATGCTGCTTGCCCCTGAGGGAGACCCGGATGCTCCAGACATCCCTACCCCGCGCTCTTACGCTGAGGCGATTGCGGGTCCCTACTCCTCTCAGTGGTAGACAGCCATGGATGCAGAGATGGCATCCTGGAAGTCCACTGGCACTTACGTCGACGAGGTTCCCCCTCCTGGGGTGAACATCGTCAGTGGCATGTGGATTTTAAGGGTGAAGCGGCTGCCAGGTTCTCCGCCTGTCTTCAAGGCTCGTTACGTTGCTCGAGGCTTCAGTCAGCGAGAGGGAGTAGACTTCTTTCAGACCTTCTCCCCCACCCCGAAGATGACCACTCTTCAGGTGCTGCTGCACGTTGCTGCTCAGCGTGACTATGAGCTTCACTCTCTTGACTTCAGCACAGCTTTCTTGCAGGGCACCCTGCACGAGGAGATCTGGCTGCGCCGCCCTCCTGGCTTCACCGGGTCGGTTCCTCCTGGTACCCAGTGGAGCCTCCGGCGGCCGGTCTACGGTCTCCGCCAGGCGCCACGTGAGTGGCATGACACACTGAGGACTACTCTTGCGGCACTTGGGTTCGCGCCTTCTACTGCTGACCCGTCGCTGTTTCTGCGCACCGACACTTCGCTGCCGCCGTTCTACATCCTCGTGTACGTCGACGACTTGGTCTTTGCCACTGCTGACACTGAGGCTCTCGCCCACGTGAAGTCGGAGCTGCAGAAGAGACACACGTGCACAGACCTGGGTGAACTACGCAGCTACCTTGGCTTGCAGATCACCCGGGACAGAGCACGCCGCACCATCACACTGACTCAGTCACACATGGTGCAGCAGGTCCTTCAGCGCTTCGGCTTCACCTGGTCCTCAGCACAGGCCACTCCTCTGGCTACAGGTCACTCGCTCTCAGCTCTGCCTTCGGATGAGTCCGTAGAGCCGAGTGGTCCTTACCCAGAGCTAGTTGGCTGCCTCATGTACCTGATGACTTCACTGGTCCTGACCTAGCGTACACTCTTGGCCTTCTGGCCCGCTGCGTGGCTCCTGGCAAGCACCAAAAGGTGCACTGGGATGCTGCAAAGAGGGTATTGCGCTACTTGTGCAGTACATCGGGCATGGGGCTCGTGCTTGGAGGAGGGAGCCCAGTTGTTCTCACTGGGCACTCAGACGCTTCTTGGGTTGACGACCTGGCTACTCAGCGGTCGTCACAGGGTTACACCTTCAGCCTCGGCTCTGGCTCAGTTTCGTGGCGTTCTACACGTTCGTCTTCAGTTCTCAGCTCCAGTTGTGAGGCTGAGATCTACGTCACAGCCATGGCTGCACAGGAGTTACGCTGGCTCACCTACCTGCTGACCGACCTGGGAGAGCGGCCTCGTTCTCCTCCAGTGCTGTACGTCGACAACAAGGCTGTCATTGCCTTGTGTGAGGAGCACAGACTGGAGCACAGAACGAAGCACATCGCTCTACGTTACTTTCTGGCTCGAGAGTTGCAGCAGCGTGGTCAGCTTCGTCTGCGTTACGTGGCCACAGAGGCCAACACTGCTGATATATTGACCAAGGCGGTTCAGTCTGGTGATCATCAGCGTTTCTGCACTTTTCCTCACTTGTTGTAGACTCTGCCTGTACTGTGATCTATTTATACATATATATATATACCTGCAGGCTTGCTTTGCTAGGTATAGATCACTGTGCTGCTTGTGTTGCATATATGCCTCTGCATGTGAACTGGCCTAGTGGCCCTTTGCTTGTGCTCAGAGTGTGTGGTGACGTTGTGATCCACCCTGAGCTTGCTTTGCCTTTCTTGACTGGTCTTGTGACCCCTTGTTCTCCCCCACTTTGCCTATGAGGGTGTGTCAAATGTTATATCTGCTACAGTTTGTTTAGGCTGTAGTGGGGTAGTTACTATGGGGTACAGTAAGTTTAGGGTTTCCTACTTGTACCCAACTCTTTCCTAGTTCAATCACTCTTGTTGATTCTGACATCTTACTTATTATAGCGCATACCTGTGCCTTACACATTATAACTGTCACCCGTTTTATACTGTTATTTTTCTTAAAGGTTTTTATAACCTATACAACTAATTATACTTTCACCTAAACAACAAAAAAACGGTAGTTTATCGACGGTTTCTTGAAATTAGAGTACGGTTGCACTACCATAGGTCTACTTACCTACGAGCCTCACAGGCTACAGCAATTTCTAAATCTAATCTAGTCATCAGCTGCGGTGGGGTCATCTGGGTCGGCCTCAGAGTCCGACTCAGGTTCCTCTGTCAGAATGTTGTAATTGTCTAGCCTGCAGTGGGGTACTCTATAGCGAGTACAACCCAAATTAGGGTTTCCTATATGTACCTTGCATGCTGCTAGTACAAACCCTCTTCTCTGTTCTATCTTTCGCCCTACTATCTCGATATCCTCTACGTTGTTGTAGAAAAAACCATCTGCTGCAATGTCATCGTCGATGTCAATTTCGTTGCCTTCGAGCTCGTCGTGTTTGTGTTGCAGGCAGATCTTGTCCTCGGACCCATCCAGGGCGTTACTAATGCCACAGGTGAGGAAAGCCCGTTGAATCAAGTCCTTGGGCACGGCCTTCCAAGCCGCTGATATCCACTTGAGCGTCAGCTCTGGTGGAGGCTTCCTAACGTTGCCTGCCATGAAATTAAACAATCAAAGTTAGCCAAGTCTACAAACCGATAAAACAACACACACATGGCCTGCCTATCTCACCTTTCTTCGTCAAGGTGTCGACCCCCTCGCTCTCGAACCACTCCTGGTAGAGCTGGCGAACGACTGCCTTGAAGGAGCGATTCACCGCGACGTCTAGAGGTTGAACCTCCGAGGTGCAGCCAGCTGGGATAACGGCAGGGACGATGTTCAGTTCCCCGAACTTCTTCTTCACCTCCGCAGTCAGGTGCCCGCGGTACGAATCCAGGACGAGCATCGCTTTGCGGGGCCGGACTCCGAACTTGGGGTTGACGTACGGCTTTACTGCCCCGTCGAGCCACGCGGTGACACCGTCCGCGTCCATCCAACCGTTGGGATGGACGGACACCGTAACATCTGCACAGCCACAAACGCACATACAACATCAGTAAAAAGTGAAACAATAAACATGCAGCTGTGGGTGGTAATGCATACCTGGTGGGAAATCCCCTTTAGGGAGGGTCTTCCGTTTGAAGAAGACCCACGGCTTCAACTTCTCACTGCTAGCGGTGCAGGCGAGCATCACCGTAACTCGCTCCTTCTGATAGCCGCCGCTGCGGATGGGCACAGAGCGCAGGCCCACCTCCTCGACTGTGCGTTCGGCAGGCATCTCGAGCCACAGTGGAGTCTGGTCCGCGTTTATTATCCATTGCGGGTCGATCTTGTATTGGCGGCGGGTGTGACGCACAAACTTCCAGAAGTTCGTGACATCAGTCTCGCAGTCTGGGAGTATGGATGGGAGGAAAAGAGAGAACACAGGATTAGTGACGCGTTGGGATACAACCGTCAGACATGAAGAGACAAACAACACAAACCAGTAAACATTAAACGACAACTCACTGGCCGCAAGCTTCTGGCCGACCCTGGTCTTCGCTCGGGTTGTCAGATTCCAGCGGCGGCGAAACCGCTCAGTCCACCGCTGCGAGCCGGACCACTTTACCTCTGGGTGCAATTCTTTCATCACCTCATGCGACCACTTCTGCAGGCGTGCGACCGAGACTGCGAGACATTTTTTATGGTGGGCAAAGAACCTCCTGTAGACTTCCGCTTCCATGTCACGATACCACGAGCTCCTTCCGCGCCCATGAAGACGCTTGCGAGCAGCATGCTCGCCCTCCAGCTCAGCCTTCCGGGTCTTCCATTCTGCGAGTGACCTTCGGGAGATGCCGGATGTGCGAGACATCTGCCGCACGCTCATCTGCCCGGACTCAAGCTTGAGAATCCACTGCAGTTTATCCTGCGATGTGTAAGAGTGCCGCTTGTGACTTGTAGGCTTGTGCCTGGGGGAGGGAGGACGGGCATCGCGATTCTTGCGAGAAGGGTGGGGCCGTTTCTTATTGGGAGGGGGAAAGGTGGGAATAGGCAGGTGCTCTGGAAGACAGTCGGCAGCCCAAAACTCCATGTCATCCTCCGCACCAGTCGCAGATTCGTCCAACGGGCAATTAGCCGGGGTTCCCCAGCGTGGTGACGGTGCAGAGGAAGACGATGCGCCACCGGTGCGTTCGGGCTCGGACAGGTAAGCGTCAAACGCCGAGTAGCCCGGTGGGAGGATTAGCTGCAGAACCCCCTGATGTGGAGCACCAAACACAGGCGGCTCAGGAGGGGACGGAGGAGCGGGAGGAACTGGAGGCGCCGGGGGAGCGGGAGGGGTAGGAGGCGTAGGAGGAGTGGGAGGAACGGGAGGCACTACTGGGTGTGTTGGAGGGATGGGCGCAGGGCGCGTCTGCCATTGAGAGTAGTCACAGGTGTCTCGGCGGGTGTTTTCTCTAGCAGCAGGTTGGCGGCGGAACAAGAAATGCGTGCCTGGAAGGCCCGCCATGGCCACGGCAGGCCAAACGAACGAAGAAACTGAACAAAAAGTTGAGAATGAGGGCCGTATGAAGCCCTTGCCTGAGACCCCTTCAGTTTCGCGGCCCGGCCTCCTCTGCGGGAAAAGGGTGGCCACAGTCAGGATTCCCCGCAGAGGAGCTGAGCTGGGCAGCTCGTTGTCTCGGTGGCGGGGAATCTTGCTGTTGATGGGCACGTCGTGGCTGACCACGACGTGCCCACAATCGCATGCAACCCTGATTGGGCCGCTGTGATGCGAGGTACGTGTGCACTGGCATGGGCTAGGTTCACGTTCGATGAACCTGGCCTGGCCAACAAGGCGTGGAAGGCGTGAAGCCACGCCTTGTTGGCCGTTTCACGCGCATAGCATGCACAGTTTCGATCGTTCTCGACTCAGGAGAATCCGCCTCTGAGAATGCTTCGATTTAGTATATTTAAAAACAAATTTCATTTTTGACAAAACATAAACATCGGCGCTTATAAATTTACTATATTATAAGCCCACCCCCTAAAAAAAACATGTTTTTTTATACCCCCCCATGGGGGTATATCCGGGGGGTGACGGTATTCCCCTGTACTATTATTTATATGCTTGTATTTGCATATTTTAATCATCTCAATCATTTTACATTCACTCTGATTTGAGGTCAAGGGCCCATTACTACCACACACTCTGTACGAACCTTCTCGAGGTGATCCTAGTTATGATCTAGTTTCTGATCGCAGAAAAACGACCCTTCCCCCCCCCCCCCCCCCCCCTCTTCGTTTTTTTGGATTTCAGACGGGCCTAAAACCTGGCAAGAGCCTTGGTAAAAAAATTACTCGCCACAATCGAGTGTACCGCTATGTACCGATATAAGACCCCTTCCAGTTGTAGACCCCCGGGTCCATAATAAGTGGGGGGGGGGGGGGGGGGGGGGGGGGTGGGGGGGGGACTTTACCGTATATGAGTCGTTTGTAGTTATACCCCCCTTTTCTAGCGCAATCATTATAAGACCCCCTCATCCTTAGGAAGAATGTTGCATTCACCATCTTCATTTAATAAAATCAAAGTGATTTTAGACACATAACCAATTTTCTCCCCTTCCAATGACTGCGCGTGTGTATCGCGCAGTCAACGTGGTCAAATTTTGTTCTTTTCGCCACTGCCAATGTGGTAATTTGAGTGGCGAGAGTTATGTCATCTGACAAAAACCCGAGAGTGGGGACATTCGTGCCTGCATCCATATTCAATGCCGAGCTGCAAAGTACAACCGACACAAATATACACAACAAACATGAATTCATTCTAAGAAATACATTCCTTATACAACTGACACAAATATACATCATTTAAAAATACCATGTATTAAGACCCGGGTCTTATATAATAGGTGACATTTGTGTATACCCCCCCATTTTTTTGTGTGATTATGTTAAGACCCCCAGGTCTTATATCTGGGGGTTTACGATAGACTGAACTACACCCTAGTATCAAAC